ACCCAAGTCCCAGAAGACGACCCACCACAATTTCTGTACCCTGGCCCAGCCCTATGTTTGTGGCAGCATGGAGCCCATCCAATGAGGGGAAGAAGGAGGGTGGCAACTGTGACACTAACCATCCACATATAGGCTGAACTTCACAGGTTAAGAGCACAGTCTGCAGCCAGAATGCCATCAGTTCAGAAACTAGGCACATGTCTGGGTTTACTAGGGACACTCTCACACTGACCAACCAATAGATGGGACAAGGTCTTGATCAGGCAATATACAGAGGTAAGTTACAGAAGTGCAGTGAACATTCGATATCACTTTCATTCAAATGTTATTCAGTCTGCCCTCAAATATTATTCAAACACATTCAAACAAAGAAATTAAGACACGACTTTCCCCTATAAGATGTACTATGATGGTTGGAAAATCTAAAATTCAATATGCAGGAAAACAGGCAGTTTCATTCCCTTCGTGTGTGGATTAAGTTTGGGCGACAGCTTTTGTAGGAGGTGTGCATATATTCCATAAAGTTGAGCGCGTGAATGACTTTGTGTGTGTGTGTGTGTGTGTGTGTATGTGTGTGTGTGCGCCCATGCACACGTGCACAGTCACGTGCATGCTGATGGACTCTAGTTCAATGGGGACACTCATGGCCTGGGAAGAGTGAGGAGCATCCAGGATTTGGAGAGGTAGGCAAGTAGGGTGGGTCACAGGCCCACTCCTGATCCCAGGAGGGGATGCCAGGCAGTGGGGGTGTTCCAAGCATGCAAAATGTCAGTACCAGAAGGATGGCCCAGGCAGGCAGATCCTCGAGGATATCTGCAGGCCGCCCTCAGCCAGGTGATGAGGGCTCAGGCTAGAGCCCGGCTCAGGCAGGCAGGGTAGAAGCCTGGCCCAGGGACCCATGGAGGGCTCCACTAGGGGCTGCCAATCGCTTGGGGCCTCCCTGAGCAGGTGCTGGATCTCAAGGTGATTTTGCCAGTTGGATTCAAGCACTCTTGGAGGCGGCCAGGGAGGTGGTCATTCCTCTCCTCCCGGTGGTCCAGAGAGGCGTTGACCTGGTCCAACATGCAGTTGATGGTGGCGTACACTGCTTGTCTGGCTATGCTGTCGTCCTTGCCTTTGGCACCCACATCCACAGCCCTGTTCCACGGAACAGCAGATAAGGGGGGCTCATGCACCTGCAAGACTCTTGTGATATTGGAGTGAGGTCGCGATGGGTGCTGAGTCTCCCTTTTTCTGCTGACCCTCTTTTTTATCTGTTCTGCACACTGACACCCAAATAGTAGATTTGTAAAGCAAATTGGATCTTAATGGAGTTTACCACATCCAACCCATGTGTCCTTCCTATGGGCCACTTATCTTTTCCCCTTTATCTTTTGCACTTTATATCATTAACTCTCTTCTCCCATGAGGCCAGAAGATGCATTCTTCCCTGCGAAGGCCCTATTGTTTCACATTCCTGCTCCTGTGCACTTGCTCCTCCTTAATCCTTTCGACTGCCTCCTCTCTTGCCCATGTTCCACATCAACTCTCCTGCAACACACATTTCAGCCTGGTGCATCGTTTCTTCACAGACGGGCCTGAGACAGTCAACCAAACCTTCAGTACATTTTTGCCAAATTCTCTTATCAGGGCACCACCCTCGTTGTGCCTTCTGGTCAAACCAATGAGTGGACAAGGGAGTTTATGTCATTCTCTTGGGGAATGTCACGGGGGATCCCCTAATGAAAGGTACCATTTCAGTGTCCCTTTATGTGCTATTGAATCTTCATGTGTATTGCACTGAATATTGAGCTATATTATACCAGGAGAAAATGAGCGACCAAGCTGATGAATTGGAAACAGGTGGTAAAAGTTTTAAGAACAAGACATACAGATTTAGATGTGCGAAAGTGAATAAGTCAACAAAGACTTTAGCATAGATGTAAGCAATAATTGTGGAACAAAATAACTGGCAAACTGGCCAACACGTTGTAAGATGTGGATTATGTTACATGAATGGTAATTAGAAAAAGAGAAAGTAGATTAGTGTTGGCAGAGCTAGCATGGGAAAGTCTCCAGAAAGAAGGTTGTATTTGATGAGAGACCTGCTTGGTGATAAGGTAACAGTCCTAGTTAGTGTGTGTTAGTCGCTGGTCTAAATGCTTGTCATGAACTCACTAAGGATCATGGCAGCCCGATGACAGAGTTCTTATTAGGATCCTCACTCTACTGATTAGGAAACTGAGGCACAAAACAATGAAGGAGATTCAGCTGGTACGAGGAATAATTGTGGTATGAATCCTAAGAGCATACAACAAGCCCATGTACTGTACACAGTAGGTAAGAAGATATGATTTTCTTCAGACAGACCATGACTGTGGAATGAGGTATCAATGCGACAAGAATGAAAGGCAGGCCTTTCCTGGTGGTCCAGTGCTTAAAACTCAGTGCTTTCACTGCTGTGGACCTAGGATTGGTCCCCTGGTCAGAAAACTAAGAACCCGAAAACTGCGCAGTTAGACAAGAGAAAAATGAAAAAGACTGAATGTTGGCCACAGATCGAGGAGACACTGGTGATCTGAAAAATAGGACCTGTGTAGTAGTGGTCATTGCATGCCAGGGATTGAGAGGGTCCAGCATGTACCCATCTGCTGATGCCAGTCACAGGGACAAGCCTAGGAACACATGGGAAAGACTTGGGAGATCCTGGGGCAGGATTCACATCAATGGCCTCAGTCTTATTTCTCTTCCCTCCCCATGTGGATTCATCATCCGTTACTGATTACAGGACAAGGCCTGCAGCAGCTCTCCTGCCCTCTGGATCTTTGTCAGAGCCTCATCGAACAACCCCAGTTCTAGAAGAGCTCACCTGTAAGCTTTCTCTGGGTTTGCAAAGGAGCAGCTAATCTAGTGGAAAAGAAACCCCTCTGAGCCAGTATCTGGCTGTTTGTTTCTGGTATCTTAGTCTCCTCCCTCATAGTTTGGAACTAGTTTTCAATTATTTGATTTTGCTGTTTCTTCCGAGTTCTATTTGAGGACTATGAAGCCAAGTCTAACACCTGCAGCTGGATGCGATGTTCCAGGTTTATCAATCAGAGTTATTCAAGGAAAAAGAACCAATAAGAGACATTTTATGTCTATATCTATATCTATCTATCTATCTATCTATCTATCTATCTATCTATCTACCTACCTATTTATATCTATCTATCTATATCTATCTATACCTATCTATCTATATATTGGCTGTTCATTTAGTCAATAAGTCATGTCCGACTCTTGTGACACCATGGACTGTAGACCGCCAGGCTCCTCTGCCCATGGGATTCTCCAGGCAGGAATACTGGAGTGGGTTGCCATTTCCTTCTCTAGGGGATCTTCCTGACCCTGGAATCAGGCTTCGGGCTCCTGCAATACAGGCAGATTCTTTACGAACTGAGCTATATATATATATATCTTGACGTTTATCTTGAGTTTAGTTCCCTATTTATGGAGGCTGAGAAATTCCACAATCTCCTGCCTACAGGGTATAAACCCAGGAGACCCAGTGGTATAATTCAGTCCCACTCTGAAGGCCTGTGAACCGGGGTGGGGGGGGGGGCTGGTGGTGTGAATCCAAGTTGAGGAGAAGGAGAAAAGGAGGAGACTCGTTCTATCTCAAGCAGTGAGATAGGGAAAAAAGAGAAGAATTCTTCCTTTCTCTGCCTTTTGTTCCATTTGGACCCTCAGCGGATTGGATGATGTCTACCCACATTGGGGAAGGCCTTCTATATCACTAAGTCAGCAAGTCAAATGCTCATCTCATCCAGAAACACCATCACAGATACAACCGGAAATAATGTTTAACTTGGATGCTCCATGACCAGTCAAGGTGGCATGTAAAATTAGCCGTCACAGTGGGTAGGGCCACGTCATGGACTGCTGCATAACACTGTGCACACCATGCAGCCTCAGATACCCTCCTATAGGATCTCTCCCACGGGAAGCACAGTGCTAGCATCAGATCATCTTTCCTCGGAGCACTGTGCACTGTGACCACGCAGTCCAGCTAAGGAACCCAGTGGCTACGTGGTCCACACACCATGTGGAGTGAAGATGAGTTCAACACTCAAGGTAGTCAAGACTAGGGGAACTGCGCCTTCTTGTTTGTACAACTCACAATTTGAGAGCAGGTGCAGAAATCTCTCAGTAAGAGGCCTCGTGGAAGAAGTGGGCTTCCAGTCTCATTTTGCATAACTGTGAAGCTCAGTGACATTTGTAGCAAAGATATGAAATCCTCATTAAGTTTTCCTATAGCAATAGGAGAAATAACTCTTGTGGTTGGGGTGGGAACATGAATTCAGGAAAAGAGCTAGGGAAGTGATTTATGCCTGGGCCTGGTAGGAAGGACAAGATTTTCCCAGACAGAAAAGCAGGAAAGGATATGGAATTCCTGAAAAGGGTGGTACCAATCTTAGCAAGCTTCTAAGAGTTAGCCTGTTGTCAGCGTTCCCTCGTCTTCCCCAAATGTCTGCAACCTGAACTGCAAAATATCCAAGTGCAAAACTTGGGTCCCTCACACCATGCACAGCCCAGTACTATCTGACCCCAGGTCTCAGAAACAAGTCCTCTGCATATCTGCTCTGATACATCTCCATGTCCGTATCTCATATGAAGAACTCACATTTTGCCTGGAAACACTAAACCTGGAAGGCTTCCTGGAGGGGGTGGAATTAATCTAGGCCTGGGTAAATTGAACGTGCATGCTTTCCAAAGTCTATGATGACAAGAAACAAAGCACAAGGTATGTGCAAGGGCCTAAGAAATAGAGCTAGGCATTGAGGGATGGACACGGATATAGAAAGACATAGGAATACGAGCAGAGATTTCATGACGTCAGCTGGACCTTGGCAAATGGACAGTTTCCCACCAGTAGATCTACCTGAGAGGAATGGCCAATCTCCCTGTCAGTCATCGCAGGCCCACCAATGATGATGTTGGGAGGCGGGGGTGTGAAACATTGTGAAAGAAGCCCTAGTGCGTGCCTAAGCTCTTGACTGTCTGGATTGTGCTGTGGGGGCTTCCGTAGACCGTTTTCCTCGGTTAGGATTTAACATGGCGGCTCCCTTTCCAGAGATCACAGAAGTGTAAGTTTTACTAACTTTATTCGTATCTGGCCGTCTGCGGTGTGATTTGGAGAGTCGGGTAGATGGTGTGTCCTCATGGACAATTTGACAGACGTGTCTGCGGGATCCTGGGTGGATGGTGGAGACGATCTCTCAGGCACTTCCGGGTTTGGTGTTGGTATTATTGTTTGGGCATGATGAAACGTGAAGAAGACGTTCTTTGTTTAAATGTGGGTCTCGGAGCCTCCTTCCCAATTGTGGTCTTACTGCTTTGTCATGTTTGTGGCTTAAAGTGAGGGAAGGGCGGGAGCATTTGGCTGGGTGGGTGGGGGTGCCGGACAGTCTGACTGGTGAGTGGCGGCCGCCATGGAGCTGATTCTGCTTTCTATCGTAGGGCATTTGGGGTGGATATATCGTTGCTGGGGCTTGCTTCAAATGTTGATCTTGGCCATTTTGGTGACCTTTCTTAACCATTGAGGGTATTTCTGTTCTTTCCCACGTGAAACGAGACAGTAAGGCTCTGAGGGATCGCATGCGGTGTTAGGACAGCTGACGGCCCTTGGCTGCCTTGGTGTTTTGTGGATCAGGGGAAGGGGAAGTTTGCCCCAGCCACTCATGTTACGAGCTTCTAAGTTACCTAATTTTCCTGCAACTGTGTTAGGCTGTCCATCTGTAAGCAAGTCTCCTTGTAGATCTGTATAATCACTCTATCCTTCAGGACCTGTGATGGCAAAATCTAGTACTGGCCAGCCGATGGGCCTGTAAGCAGAAGAGAGTGGACCCGGAATTAGCTGTCGAGATCTGCCAGATGAGTAAGTGCAACCTTATGTTCTGTGGGGCCACAAATGCTGGGAGGAGGGTAGCATTCATTCCATCAGTTGCAACATTTTTTAATATGGTGTTGAAATGTCTTCCCTGGGTCTCTAAGATAGGAACTTGCAGCAATGTCAGGATCACTCCCTGAACGCTGCTCAGACACTAAGTTTATAATCGATGTCTTTCACTAGTCAGCGGCATCTAGTTCCAGTTCAGTGTGCCATTATTACAAACATACTGAATTTATTAGAATTTCCCAAAAGGCTGATATTGCCATCTTCACATCAGAGTTCTGATCTGTCTTGTTTTCCTTTTGGAAAACACTTGTAATACCAGGCAGAAGCAGGCTGGACTGGATGGGATTGTGAAAAACAAATTTCAGGAATCCAGAGACTGTGGGAGTGCTGTTTTTTTTCAGGTAGGGGAACATGGATTTGAATGTAATTTCAAGCCAGCTCTATTTAGGAAAGGGGAGAAAGATGAGGCCTGTACACCAGGTGAGTGGCAGAGCATGATATTCTCCCAGTCTATCCCCTCTATAAGTGGGTTGGGATTTAGTTTTCAGGGGTCCTGGAGATGTAGGCTTACAATTCAAGTAATATGCAGGTCAAGACTTCATTAAATATTTACCCTTCTGCCATTTTTGGGGAGTGGGAGGTGCGGGGAGCATGATATTTTCATTTTTTGCCTTGCAGGTGTTGCTGAGACAATGCATCGTATTTCATTAAAAAGAAATTTTAGTGTCTATGTCTGACTCTTTCTTGCTGTCATCTTTGAGCCTCAATATCCACATTTCCAACTGGGAATCACACCTGCTCTCAGGGATATCTCTTGTATGGTTTTTGTAAAGTGCTCAGCATACAGGAGGTACTGAAGGAATTAGCACATCATTTCCAGAATATGGGAACAGATCATTTTGGCTTCATTTAGCTCATCTCCATACCTGTCCAGGCCCCCATTTCAACCAAACGTTTGTTTCCTTTCACAGGGCCAGCAACTTTCCTCAGCTATTACAGGGCTTCTCTTTGGAAACCAGCCTCTTTAATCCTGCTATGATGCCAAGAGGTAGCCCAGCAACTCACACCTTGTCTTGCTCTGAGCCACTTTCTTGTGTGTCCATGTCTGACGCCTTATGCTGAAGCTGATGTGGCTCTGCACCAAGTTCCGGCATCAAGAGGGTGCTTGTTAACTGGCAGTGCCGAAAAGGTCTCCTCTCTTTCATTGTCTGTTTAAAGTTACTTCTTTTCTGGGCAGTAGTTAATTTGTTGAAAATCTGCAGAAGAGTTTTCACAGTTGGGGTGGGGGGATAGTGCTAAATAGAATTATGAACTCTTCTACAGTGCATTCCAAGACACTTCTAAGCTCTAGTTTCATAGAAATGTCGGGCTCCTCTGTTTCTTTATTAGCACGGGTTTTATCCAGAAGGTGGCATCACAGAACCTGAATTTCATTCAGCGAACGTTAAATGAAAATCCACATTTCTTTGTGATTGGAAACTAAAGTGTGTAGTCTTTAGAGGCCATGTTTAAAGACTTTTTGTTTATCCCTGTAATTGGTAAAATTACTTTAAAGGTGTGAAAGATGGAGGTCGTGATAGCTTCCTACTTAGCGAAAACCTGAAGCCTGAGATACTTAGCAAAACCTGCCCTAAGCCGATGTTCCTTCCCCAGGTAACACGATGATGATCAAAACTGCCTATTTCCTAGTCAAGACAATAGTGAAATTTAAGGATAACTGTGAGGCCTTCTTCCCCTTCCACACACACTTGTTCCCACTGCCCATCAAGGTCATCTTGGCTGACTTCATTGGAGTCAGGGGTCAAGAAATCCTTAATGGATGGTTTAAGAGGTCAATCTGCTGTGTATTGGCACTTCAATATAAGTCACCAGGTTGAGCATTCTGAAAAGGTGACTCTCCAGTTGGTGACAGTCTCACAGATCAGGGCTCTCAGGGAAAGAGAAGGTAATCCTCTTCTGAATTTGAGATGGAATCTGGCTTGCTGGTTCTTTTCCAGGAATTCATTACTAGGCCAGCCATGTCACTTAGGCTCATGAGACAATATCTAGTGAATGTCTACTCACTCGTGGGAACGTGAATGTTCTATAAATTCTTGGTGTGAGTTATTCCTTTGGATACATACCCCAAGTGTGATTGCTGGACTAGATGGTAGTTCTCTTTTTCATTTTTCATACTGTTTTCCATAGTAGCAGTACCAATTGAATCTTGAAAGAAATGAATTTCATGAGTGGCTCTCAGGCCACATTTGATTGTCGGCTCTTTTCAGGAGAAATACTGTAGAGATGAGAGGCTCAAAGCTGGAAGGAGTTCCCTGATCAGGAAAGATGGAATGACTGACTACAAACGGAACTTCGTTGGGGTGCCTAAAGCCTAGAGGTGGGGAAGGGGCTGGGAAGAGTGACCCTCTGTAGAGCTGCTCTGAGAGCACAAGGAGAAAGCTGGACAGGAGGACATAGGCCCTCAATGTGAAAGGTGCATTGGACTTTCTGTGGTCAAATGTGTCTCCTACGTATTTCTCAATCCCTGGTACTGCCTGGGATCATTGTAGCAAGGGGACTGAACATAACGGTGCACATCGCTGAGTGTGACATGAGAGTGGGTTCCTTTCCAGCAAAGGTGAGACTTTCATGATGAAGGCTTTACCCTATGTGGCAGCATTCTTCAGAATTCTGGACTTCACTGTTAGGGATGTTCTTGTGTTCCTGCTTCAGTCTGTGCACTGCCTTAGGCTGTGAAAAGCAGCTCAGGAAACGTGACCTTTCCCCTTCCTATACTGTGGCCTAGAGCAGTAGTCTGAGAGGGTCTCCTGGGAGGCGCCCGCTGATGTTGACTACACTTGATCGAGTAGACTGCTCAACTCTTCCGTTAAGACTACCTGTGGCCATAAAGAGGCACATGAATGTGAACTGCTGTTGCTGGTGTGTTCTACTGATATACCAACCAAACACTTCTTCCTTTGACACTCACACACCTCAGGTGCCTTGCTAAAGTCCTAAAGAAGGTGCATATTGGCATTGGCAGCATGTGATGCATGGGAAATGTTGAGTCTTTGGCAGAAGTTGGCTGTAGCCTGATGTCACAATTCTGTGCCATTGTGCCGAGCGAGGGCACTTTGAGAATCCTGAGGAGTCCCAACTCTGTCTCTCAGAATGTGGTTGGAACTTTCCACATTCACTTTCTGCACTCTTCCACTGAGCACATTCTGCACATTGGCTGGAAGACAGAGGTCCGATGGGTCTTGTCAGTGAACTGTGCATGAATCCGGGACCATTTGCTTCCTTTGGGGTACATGCCGATGAGCCTGGATGTCCAGGAACCTCTTGAGTCAGGTGCCCCAGCTGGAGGATGAAGCCCTTGTATTCCTCTTGCTGGAGAGGGCTGCATCCCCAGGCTGTAGCTGTCTCTCCCACCCGTGTATCTGCTAGAAAGCCTTTCTAGCAGAAAGGCTGGCTGGTGGTGGCTCCTCTTCCATTTGGGTTATCCTGTTGGTGGGGGTGACATTGCCTCAGGGGGACCTTCTCTGCACTCTCAAGGAACAAGGTGTTGTTGGTACACCAGTGGAGGGACAGTTATGTATTTTTTGTGGTGTTGTGCTACTGGAGTGGGGGAGAGTAAAGGGGAACTCAATTGGGGAGGGACAAGTCCCGATGGTTTCCCCATGTCAGGCTTTTGCTTTCTCTTCATTCGGGAAATTTGGGCCCAGCAGGGCTATGAGGAGGAGGCTCTGAGAGTATAAGGAAAGACTGACTGTGGGGAGGACAAGGGTCTTTGGCATGTCGACTGTGGTGGGCATTGTGGGTTCAGGGCTCTTTCTCCTGTCTCCTTTCTCCATTCTCATGCCCTTTCTTTGGGTTAGCATAGCTGAGGGACAGAAGTTAACAATGGACCCTGATGGATATACTATAAGAAGATACGGCTTTGGTATCAACCCGGACATTTATTATGGGAAGAGGATTGTTTTCCATTTTCCCAAGTGAATTGTGATTTTGTCTGCAAGTGAAGGCTTTGCTGTCTCTTCCTTGTTCTGTGTTGCCTAGAGCTGTGACAAATGGCTGTTGTGGAAGGGGAGCTCTTTGTCCAGCTGTGCTGTTGCACAGTATATAATCTAAGGGAGTTCTGAGAAGGAAATACTGTTGCTTACACTATTTTTTTTTCTCCCGGTGATATTTTCTGTCCTTTTCCTTTAGCTTTATGGGCTCTCGGTCACTGCTTTTGCTGCCAGGTCCCTGAAGGAACACTCTTGGTTTATCAAATTCCCAAGAGGCTTATTTAACTTACAGAAAAGATTTGCATACATTGCAGAGAGTCAGAAATGGCAGCCTATTGCCTGGAGAATCCCAGGGACAGGGGAGCCTGGTGGCTGCCATCTGTGGGTTCGCATAGAGTCAGACATGACTGAAGTGATTTAGCAGAGACAAAGAACTGACCACACTCCAGAGTTTTTGAGGAAAGGTGAGAAAGCAGTCCTCGTCCCTTTTCAGCATGAGCAATTTGATTATCCTTATTTGAGTGTCCCTTACAATGTGCTCCCTGTGAGCTACCAGGTCCCCTGGGTATCTTCACCATCCCTCCAAGTGCTGATTCTAAAGTTCTGGCCATAGCCAGACCTGTGCAGAGGAATTCCTCAAGAGGGACTTGTGGAAACAGCACCTGAAGGACAAGTAAAAAGTATGAGTGACTGCTTATCCTCTAGGAGCTTTTTACCCATACATATGTCCTCAGGGCGACTTCTCTGTGATCAATAGGATCACTGGGGATGAGGATGAAAAGGACAAACCTTGTTTAGAGATGGTTTAAGTCACTCTGCTGATGTCAGCATTCTGTTGGCAAGTGGAGCTGAACTTCCCTCTCACCGTCCGTTTGTCAAATACTCTGAACGAGCAGAGGTTTGATCTCCAGTTGGCAGAGGTCCGATTTCCATGTCTTGTGGTGCACAGTACCTGCTAGAATACTTGGGAGGATGTAAGGACTCAGATCCGGCAGAGATTTAGTTATGGAAGTTTAGTGTGTAGCTCTGTCAAAAAGAGTGGACAGAATGAGTCAAATCTGTGCATTCCTGGACAGTTTGAATGGTCTCTTCATCCCTCTGGATTTGAATTTGCCCTCCCAGTCCACTATGCTGACTCCAGAATGCACCCAAATGGGTTAGTGAGTATCGCCAGCCAGGCCACCTCACAGTTTCGATTTGGGTTGGCTTTCTGAGCTTCCCTCGCGTCTCCTTATTCATGTGCAAGCCTACTCTACTACTTCTTATCAGCTTTGGAATAGAGCAGCAGTGGATCCACTTCAGTGAATCCTAAGGAAATTCACTGGTTTACCCAGCCTCCCCCATCAGTCAGACAAAGCCCATTCCAGAATGCTGAAAGGCCTGTTGTAGATTTTCTTTTAGTAGGTTGTCAGAGTACTGAGCTACAGGATATAGGATATAGTTAAAGCCAGGAACCAGGAACCTGTGCACCTCCTCCAGATCCTGGAACTGATGTATACTGAAAAGGCTAAGAGGGTAGATCTTGCTCTGTCATGTTTCTATTACCAAATAATAATAATAATAAATTATGAAGGTGGAATGAAACTTCAGAGTGGATGGGTGTGTTTATGGTATAGGTTATGGACATGCTTTATGGATGTATACCAATCTCCAGACTCATACAATTGTGTCTATTTAGATGTGTACATCTTTTTGTATGTCAGTCATTGCTCATACCTCAATAAAGGCGTATAAAAAAATAATAAAAAAGAACCTCCCATGGTGCCAAATGAATGTCACCACCCTCCAAGTGTTTTTATATTTTAAAACTGAGAGGGAAGAATATTTCTCCTTCGGGAAATGGTTAATGCCATTTACAGCTTCTGTATTATGGTTTTGCCTTGGTTTCTCTATGTATACATAGTATTTGCATCAGTGGTGTATAAGGTTAACCTTTAGTCCGTAGGATTTTGAATTTCATAGAATCTCAGCAGTTCTACAGAAGTCTATGGCTTCATGCGGAGGACTTCGGCTCAAGGAGTAGCCCTGTGACAACAGCGAGGTGTCATTTGACCAGAAATTGACTTTGAGGTATTGTGCCTTTGGGAATGGCTTGGACTTTGGGTTGCTTTCATTTTGTATAATATGTGCTTTTCTGCTTCCTCAAGAAATGTTTAAAAATATTGTACCCATGGGGGCATGTCAAAGTT